TGGTTCTGTTACCCTGATGCCCTTGTATAGTACGATCTGCCTACAAAGCACAAAAGACAACACTTTTGACTGTACCTCCATACACGTAACAGTGGACTTATACACTTAATGGTAAGGTCCTGGAGAGTATTGCTGAACGAAGAGACCTTGGAGTGCAGGTTCATAGTTCCTTGAAATGGAATCGCAGGTAGATAGGCTAGTGAAGAACGCATTTAGTATGCTTGCTTTTATTGGCCAGTGCATTGAGTAAAGGAGTTGGGAGGTCATGTTGCGGCTGTACAGGATATTGGTTCGGCCACTTTTGGAGTATTGCTTGCAATTCTGGTCTCCCACTTATAGGAAGGATGTCATGAACCTATAAAGGATTCAGAAAAGATTTATGAGCATGTTGCCACGGTTGTAAGGTTTGAGCTATAGAGAGAGGCTGAATAAGCTGGGGCTATTTTCCCTGGAGCATGGGAGGCTAAGGGGTGACATTGTAGAGATTTATAAAATCATGAGGGGCATGGATAGGGTAATTAGGCAAGGTCTTTCCCCGAGGTGTGGGAGTCCAGAACTAGAGGGTTTAAGGTGAGAGGGGAAAGATATAAAAGGGGCCTAAGGAGCAATTTTTTCACACAGAGGGTATATGGAATGAGCTTCCACAGGAAGTGGTGGAGGCTGGTACAATTACAACATTTAAAAGGCATTTGAATCGGTATATGCATAGGAAGGGTTTAGAGGCATATGGGTCAAATGCTGGGTAATAGGACTAGATTTATATTGGATATCTGTTGGCATGGATGAGTTGGACTGAAGAATCTAATAAATCAAATAAAAAATCTATTACTCTATGACCCTGTGACTCTAAGTAAACAAGTATTTTGCATTGGTCTTCATTATATAGTTACAAGTAAGTACCCAGAAATGGTTGTAAATCAGGAGATGATTGGGAGTATGGAACTCAAGAACATTATAATTATAGAGTTTTATATCACAATAAACAGTAACATTCTATAAGCTTTCCTAATTACTTGTTTTACCTACATGCTAACCTTTTTCTGATTCATGCACAAGGTCACCCAGATAGCTTTGCATATCAGAGTTTTGAAATCTCGTCATATTTACATAGTTTTTTTTATTCTTCCTGGCAAAAATGGACAATGACATGTTTTCCCAAATTATACACCATTTGCCAGATCTTTGCCTACTGATTTAATCTTTCACTTTATTGCTTACTTTTGTCCTCTTTCAAACTCACTTTTGTACTCACCTTTGAGTCATCAGCAAATTTAGCAAACATTCCCTTGGCCCCTTCTTCCAAGTCATTTGCATAAACTGTAAAAAGTTGAGGGCCCATTGGCTCAGTACATCTTTGCCAACCAGAAAATGACTATTTATGTTTCTTGTTAGCTAGCCAATCTTCAGTCCATGACATCCTCTGTCATTCTGCAAAAATCTTTGCTATAGTACTTTATCAAATGTGGGCATGAAACCTGAGTTAGTTGAAGTAAATTGGCATGCTAGTCTAGGGGATAGATCAGGAGAGGCCCAGTGGGAGAGGCAGTTGCATTATTGTCTGGATTGGTAATCCAGAGGCAAAAGCATAAAGTACAAGAGAAACTCAGCAGATCTGGCAGCATCTGTGGAGAAAGAAACAAAGTTAATATTTTGAGTCTAAAGTGACTCTTTGGAATTTTTGTCATATTGGCCTCAAAATGTTAACACTGTTTATTCCTCCACAGATGCTGCCAAACTACTGGGTTTTTCCAGCACTTTCTGTTTTTATTTCAGATCTCTTGTATCTGCAGTACTTTAGCTAACATTATAGAAATCCAGGAGCCTGGACTAGTGCTCTGGGAACATATGTTCGAATCCCATTTTGTGATATTTGAACTTAATTAATGAAACTTGGCATTAAAAGCCAGTCTAATGGTGACTATGAAACCACCGTTGATTGTTGTGAAAGCATGGTTCACTAATGTACTTTATGGAAGGAAAACTTACAATTCTTATCTGCTCTAGCCTCGCTGTGACTCCAGACTTACAGCAATGTGCTTGACTGTTAACTGCCTGGTAAGCTGTTCAGGTCAAGGCCAACAAAGTTGGATGCCTACAACCTACGAAAGAAAGCAAAACAATGGAAGACATTTAAAGGGATACTTCATAATACTCAGAATAAGCATATTCCTACTATAAAGAAAAAAATGTAACAGAATAACTAAATAAGTTAGAGATAGCATTAAACTTAAGGAAAAAGCATATCACTGTATAAAGATGAATGGCAGGTCAGGTGATTAGAAAAAGAGTGGCAGAGAATGACTGAAAGGTTAATCAGGAGGAAGAAATTAGATTCAGTAAAGAAGCTGGCAAGTTAAGATTATAAAAATGGATAGCAAGAGATCTTGTACTTAACAATGATGAAGGCCAAAACATCAGTACAAAAGACAAGGCTGACCATTTGCAACAATCTTCAGCCAGTGGTGTTGATTGGATGATCCATCTGAGTCTCCTCCAGAGGTCCTGAGCATCACAGATGCTAGTCTTCAACCAATTCGATTTACTCCACATGATATCAAGAAATTGTTGGAGGCTCTGGAAGCTGCAAAGGCTATGGGGCCTGACCACATTCCAGCAATAGCTTTTGAAGAGCATACTCTTAAACTTGCTGCACCCCTAGCAAAGCTGTTCCAGTACAGCTACAACACTGGTGTTTATCTGACAATGTGGAAAATTGGACGGATAAGTCCTGTACACAAAATATACCATCAAATCCAGTTTGGCCATTTATTGCTCCATCAGTCTACTCTTGATCATCAGAAAATCAACCACGCTGTCAAGCAGCACTTGCTTAGCAATAACCTGGCCACTCCTGCACAGTTTGGGCTCCGCCAGGGCTACTCAGCTCCTGACCTCATTGCAGACTTGGTTCAAACATGTACAAAACAGCTGATTTCCAGAGGTAAGGTGAGAGTGACTGTAACGAGGTCAGCCAGCTGGACTTCATAGAATATGAGTTCTCTGATTGGGGCTGTTAATCTGGTCTAATCAGAGGGCTGATGGATATAATTAGGAGTGTCAGAGGTTTTGTTTATTCTGAGGGAGCTGGATCAGTGTCAAGGACTCTCCATGTGTAAATAAAGGGTGACTTGGTGACAGGATACTGGCCTCTGTGGAGTTATTTCAGACTGCCCTTGATATCAGTGCAGCACTTGATTGATTGTGGAATCAAAGAGTAAAACTGAAATCAGTGGGAACCAGAGAAATCTCCCCATTGTTTGGAGTCATTGCTAAGAAGATGGTGGTGGTTGTTGGCGATCAGTCATCTTAACTCCAGGATGTCTCTGCAGGAGTTCCTCAGGGTGGTATCTTTGGCTCAACCACCTACAACCTCTTTATCAATGACCTTCCCTCCATCATATTGTCAGAAATGAGGATTTTGCTGATGAATTTGCAATATTCAGCACCATATTTGACTCCTCAGATACTGAAGCAGTCCATGTCCAAATGCAGCAAGATCTGGATAACATCTAGGCTTGGGCCAACAAGTGGCGAGTAATATTTGCTCCACACAAGTGCCAGGCAATGACCATCTCCAACAAAATAGAATCTAAGCATCACCTAGACATTCGATGGTATTGACATCACCAAATCCCCATCATCAATATGCTCAGTAGTAGTAGTGTGTACTATCTTCAAAAGAACAAAGAACTGCGGATGCTGAAGATCTGAACAAAAACAGCAATTGCAGGTAAAACTCAGCAGGTCTCGCAGCATCTGTGGGAAGAAAGCAGAGTTAATGTTTCAAGTTTAGTAACTGAAGGGTCTAAAGGGACCGAGGAGTCCCCACACTCAAAATGTCAACTCTGCTTTCTTCCCATAGATGCTGCCAGACCTGCTGAGTTTCACCAATAGTTTTTTTTTGTGATAGGGTTAGGGTTAGATGCACTGCAGAAATTCACCAATATCCTTAACCAGCACCTTCCTAGAAGATTGGAAACTTTCCAGCAGAGTTAACATTCTGTGTCCAATGTGACTCTGCTTTGGGACTGCTGTCAGGTCATAGATTTTAAAGATAATTATTAAGGATCCTGAACAAATGTTGACAGTGTGTGGAAAGGCAGCTATAACATTGTATCCTGCACTCTGTTCTATTACCCTGATGCACTTGTATAGTATGATCTGACTTTAAAGCATGTAACACAACACTTTTCACTGTACTTTGGTGTTTCCTGTTATGGGTCAGTCCAGAGCTAGAGGACACTGTTGAAAATTAGGAGTTGCCTTCTGAGTACAGAGATGAGAATTTTTTTCTTATATCTCACAGGTTTGTGTGCTTTTGGAATGGTCTGCCATAGAAGGTTTTGGAAGTGGAGTCAATGTACATGTTTAAAATAGGTTAAAAACCAAAAGAATTGTGGGTGCCGTAAAGCAGGAACAAAAGTTCTGAGGAAGGGTCCCCCGACCCGAAAATTTAACTCTGATTTTTCTTCACAGATGCTGCCAGATCTGCTGAGCCTTTCCAGCAACTTCTGTTTTTATTCCTTATTTTTAAAACAGGGGCAGATTCTTGTTAGACAAGGCAATCAAAGGTTATGCTAATACGAAACACAAACAGATCAACCATGACTGAAGGCCGAATGGCCTACTTCTGATCCTAATTCAAATGGTTTATGACAGCTTGTTAACACATTTCATTCTTCCACTGTAGGCATTTGATGCAGGACTTAGATGCAATCACTCTGTAAATGGATCAATGTTACGCAAAATTTCCATTTCTTTTACAAAAACAAATGCACTTTCTTTCCCGAACCACATTAACATGGACTTAGGCTAATAAGCAACGGACCTCTCAAGATCCTACCACAGACTACAGTCCTGTCGCAATTCAGCAGTCACCTGATCCCCAAGGGGCGGGGCAGGCGCGGCTGGCGGCCAGCACGCTTGAGCTGAATCGCCGTGGTGCCCCCTGGGAACTGTAGTCCGGCGTCTTCGTGTTTGTCGCCGACGAGCAGGACGGAGCGAACTACAGATCCCGGTGTGCACGGCGGCGGGCTCCAGCGGGGCCGGGCTTGGAAGTTGTCCTTCCCCACCACCTAAACACTCCCGCCCCCCACTCCTCCCAACTTGAGGGAAAGAATAAGTGAGTGAGAGTGAGTGAGTGAGTGAAGGAGGAGGAAGCGTTTCCCTGGTTGTACCGGTCACCTCTCTGGTGTCTGTTCGGTGTGAAGCCTCCTCGGTTCCCCGTCGCTTCCCCCCCACCGCTGACATGGAGCGCTGGAAGGGACGCGTGGCTCTGGTAACCGGGGCGTCGGTGGGTATCGGTGCGGCCATCGCCCGGGCTCTGGTTCAGCACGGCATGACGGTGGTGGGCTGTGCCCGGAGTGTGGACAAAATCGAGGTAGGAATCGGGGAGAGGGGGTTGGGATCAATCTGTGTGTGGGTGTGAAGGGGGCTGGTGAAGTACAGCGAGAGAGACAGAGCAGACAGGCCCCGGGTGCTGAGCCTCCTCTTACCCTTCCCTCCCCTCCGCCTTGATTTTTCCTAAATTAAAAGACCACATTGAGCCGCAGCTCGACACCATCATTTGTTATCCAGATAAATGTCACTTTGCAACCATCTTGGCTGAAAAGAAAATTCCTCCTCCCCCCCCCCCCCCCCCCCGCCTTGCGCGCAGCGGAAAACTCTCGGGTTTTTGCCCGCCCCCACCGCTTTCTCCTCGGGGATACCAAAAAAAG